CACCTCCAAATAAGGTGACATTCTGAAGTGCTAGGGGTTAGGACTTTATCTTTTTTTAGGGGACATGATTCAGTCCATAACAACTGCCTTCAAAGCCTGCTGTTCCTAAATGTTGGAAGACTAGCTGGTTAAGAAACACCTGGAACATTTCTGGAAATTTATATTTGTAAATAATTTTGTAAATTCAGGAAGAAGATGGCAGGTCTAGAATAAGATTTAGAGATATCTAAATAAAGATTTAGAGATATGCAAACAGGCCACATACCCAGTGGCATCCTCAGCTCTTCATCTGATCCAGCCCCATTGCAAAACCCCACCTGGGGATGTTTCCCACCTTGGCTGCCCACTGGAATCACCTGGGGAAGTTTAAAAATACCGATCCCTAAATTCTACCCTCAGAGATTCCAGTGTAATTAGACTAAGGTATTGCTTGGGCACCAGGAGTTTAAAACAATTCCCAGATGATTCTAATCTGAGGCCAAATTTGAGGACAAACGGGGGTGCATGTTGTAAAAGAAGGAGACACAGCCCTTTTCCCAAATAAGGAAGAGGGACATGAACACAAATAATACCAAATATGAGCACAGACAGATAATAATAATAATAATATTTTAGCTTTTTCATATTTATTGTGTACAAAATGAAGTTGCTATGGAGAAGTACATGAATGGATATATTTAGCATTATTCTCAAAATCTTCAATAAAGCATTATTCTCAAAATCTTCAATAATGGTGAACTCATTTATTTCTTCTTGTAGTTTTGTCAGTTTTTGAAGTATATTTTGTGGTATTTTTACATAGGGCTTATACATTTAAAATTATTATTTCTTCTCAGTAAATGAATCCTTTATCATAGTAAATTACTTCCTTTCCCCTAGTAATACTTTTCACCTGAAAGTCTATTTTTTTCCCCTGATATTAATGCAGTTGCCTCATTAGCTTTCTTTTGCCTAGTAGTTATATGGTATATATATTTTTCCATTCTTTAACTTTTAAAGTTTTCTGTAGTCTTATGTTTTAGATGACTCTCTTGAATGAAATATAGTTGAATTTTTAAAAAATACCCCAAATACCCCGACAACCTTGCTGTTTAATTGGAGCATTTAGTCCATTTACGTTTAATGTAATTACTGACATATATTGGTGAAACAAATATGTTACAACTCCCAGGGTACTTTGTGGAAGTTGTAATTCTCACAATTGACCATCAGAGGGCAACTCCAGGGACTGCACAGGCATTTACAGCCTTGAAGGGACAGAAGGAACCAGGCATTTATTCTCCGAGGTTCCACTACCGCTCTAAGGTTCCCCTCTACAATGTCTGGGCGTTCTCTGGTCAGGGGAGAAATAAGAATATGGGGTAGAGGACAGGAGTGTGGTGGACTGAGGGACACAAGAGCAGTGCCGTGGGGGGGAGGGTGACTTAAGGCAGCAGTCCCCAACCTTTTTGGCATCAGGGAACCGTGGAAGATAGGGAAGAGGGTGAAGAGAGGGATCATCAGGAATTAGATTCTCATAAGGAGCAGGCAACCTAGATCCCTCACATGCACAGTTCACAATAGAGTTCATGCTCCTACAAGAAGCAAATGCTGCTGCTGCGCTGACAGAAGATGGAGCTCCACTTGCTGTGCTCACCTCCTGCTGTGTGCCTCGTTCCTAACAGGCTATGGACCCATACTGGTCCTTGGCCTGAAGGTTGGGGACCCCTGGCTTAAGGCACTCAGCAGATTCAACACGATAGCTATTTACCAACTTGAATAGAAATGTTTCAATATTTTTATAACTAGTACTGTTGTACAAACAATTCAGATTGGTAGCCCTGCTGATGTATTTGGGTTTAAATTAACCATCCAATTTGTGTTATTTACAACATCTGTCCTGTGTTGGTTTTTTCCCTCTCATGTCTTGCCTCCTTTCATTATTCCATTTTCCCTTCTCTTGTAGTTTTTAAGTACAATGTTTTGTTTCTATTTTTAAAATAATCACCCTAGAAATTATCTCATGCAAACTTTTCAAAGTCTGTTATTCATCAAGACATTTACTTTCTTTCCTGACGATACAGGAGCCTTGAAGCACTGTCATTCCACTTACCCCCAGTCTCTACCAACTTAATGTTATGGATTTTAATCCTTCATAGCTTCTTTAAATCCATAAGACATTATTTTCTCTGTCTCTTGAAGACGTTTATTAATATTTACTGCCTTCTTTGCCTCTTCATATCTTCTTACAGTTCTCTGTTAATCTGGGATCCTTTTTCTTTTTGCCTAAAGGACAAACTTTACTATTTGTCTTAGTGAGGGTCTGTAAATATTTTTATTTGGCCATCGTTTGTAAAAAACCTTTCTCTGAGGGTAGAATTATAGGTTGGTAGATAGTTTCTTTCAGCATACTGAAGATGTTCTGCCACCATCACTCTCAGAAAGCTAATTGCCAGACTGTGATTTCAATAAAATTACAGGTGCTCCTCGACTTACGATGGGGCTGTATGCCTTGAAACCCATCATAAGTTGGAAATATCACTAAGTCGAAAAAGCATTTACTACACCTAACCTATTGAACATCATAGCTCAGCTGAGCCTACCTTAAGTGTGATCGGAATACATACTTTAGCTTACAGTTGGGCAAAATCATCTAACACAAAATCTATTTTATAATAAAGTGTTGAATATCTCATGTAATTTATTGGTGTTCTACTGAATGGGTATTGCTTTTGCACCATCATAAAGTTGAAGAAATCATATGTCAAACCATTATAAACTGGTGACTATAGTTGTCTTTTTTTCTCTGACTGCTTTTTAAATATTTTTCTTTATTTTTCTGAAGTTACACTATTATGTCTTGGTGAAAGAGTATTTTTATTTTTCCTGCCTGAAATTTATTGAGCATCTGTTTTGAGTGGGCTTGTATCTTTTGGAAAGAATCATTTCCTCAAATACTGTCTCTGCTCTGTTCTCTTACACTTATCTTTGTGAGACTCTGATTAAATGAATGTTCAACTTCTCCCAGGATCTTAACATCTTTTCTGCATCTGCAATCTTTTTCTGTCTGTACTTCACTTAAGATAATTTCTTCAGTTCTACCTTTAATTTCATTAACACTTTTTAAGCAGTGTCTAATGTGCTGTTAAACACAACACAAATCCAATAATTTGTGTTATTGCAGGTTTCATTTTTAGAAATTTTGTTTTTTTGTTTTAAACTGTGTCACTTTTTGTAGTTTCTTGTTCCTTGTAGACATCTTTGAACTTGATTTTTTTTTTTTCAATCTGGCACGTATAAGTTTTTAAGAAATAATCTGTATCTGGTAATTCTGATATCTGCTAAATTTGAGCTTCTGTTTCCATTGTCTATCATTTCTGTTTCTTCTAATTTGTGGTGTCTGTGGTGCATTATCTTTGACTATGTGCTAGCAATTGTGCAAAAAAGTATTTGAAGGATTACCTGAAGACTAAGATAAAAGTACTTTCTACTACACAGGATTTGCTTTTATTTCTGGAAAGTCTGGGGTCACCATAAGCCAAGTTCAGTGCCTAAGATAAAAGTGCCTTCCACTACACAGGATTTGCTTTTATTTCTGGCATGTCTCAGGTCACCATAAACCAAGTTCAATGCTTAAGATTTTCTGGAAGTCCTCGGTTATTCAGATTGCATTCCAAGCTACAATTATTTGTGAGGGTTCATCTATTTGCAACCAATGTTTACCTTGCAGGTGTCATTCTTTAGGATCTCAGTTTTTTGTGGGAAGGTTTTACAATTATACTCCCTGTTCTGAGTGGCCCTGGGTGTTGATTTCTGTCTCCCTTGCTCCCACTGGTCTATTAAAACCAACTTCAAATTTGGCTGACCTAGCAAATACTCTCAGGATACAAGTGGCAGTTTTTGTACTCATTTATATTTCTGGGTTTCCATTTTCCCATCATTCTCTTCTTGGTAATTCCTTACTGTTAGAAGGTTTTTAAGGATTATAATGATTTAAAATTAGTTTTTAAGTTGTTTTCAGCGAAAAAGTTGGTCCAAATGATCTAGCCCACCATTACTGGAAACAAGAAGCCATGTAATGTCTTTCCAGGCACCCAGTAGGTACCCCATACGTGATGGCCGAGTTGGTTATCAAATTATTGTAATTTTTCGAGCATGTTCCATGTTTTGGCGTGTTTTCATTTGCAGAGGCTGTTTCCTACTCTTAGATGCATTTCTCATTCCCTATCCCAATCCAAGAATGTCCGCATTCTACCATTTAACAAGGCTCAGAACAAATGGCACCTTTTCCTTTTCTCTGTTTCCTGTTTCTCTACTTCCCCAAATCTGAATCCTATCTCTTCCTTCTCTAACCCTTAACAAGACCTAGTATGCCTTCTCTGGGTACTTTACTAAGTAGAAATGTATTATATACATACTTATCTCTACTGTAGATTTCTACATTCTTATCATTTCTGGTTCCTGAAAAACTGCTCTCCAGTTCAGCATGCATTATAAACAGATTTCTTGAAAATATTATCTATCTGGTACTTTGGAGTTTGATGCACTTGGAGAGCACTCTATGAACATGCAGTCTGTCATGTTGCTGGAGGCAGGATTTTGTTCATTCTCATAAACCTTCCGTTTGTACAGCACTCTAGAGTTGACAGGGGGCTCTCATATACACGAGTTTCTGTAAACTTCAGCAGTCTTTGACTTCATCGTTGCTATCATCACATTGCAGGTGGGAAACACACAGACTAGATAATATACCAGAATAGAAGCACAAAGCAGGAGATGGAACCCACGTCTTTTCTCTCCAAGCCCAGGGCTCATCCCAGATCACCACAGTTGCTGTCCACATGATTTGTGTCACTTGTCATTTCTACTGCAACCACACCTGGGTCTCTTGGGAAGCAGATATTCTGTATGTAGAGGTAAATGTGATGCCAGAGTTGGCTCACAGGCAATGGACATAGGGCTGGGCTGTGTGAGGTTTCCCATACATACCTCCTGGAAGGTTCTCTATATTTCAGTCCTGCTTACCTTACAACTCTGGTCCCATTTCTCACGACTTGCATGTCGACCATGCAGCCCCCAGTCACGTAGGCAGCTAGGTTCAACTCTGAGAATTCAGCCTAATGGAAAAAGCAAAACCAAAAAAGATCCATCAAATCCTAACGGTGCTAACAACCGCTACCACGTATTGGGTACCTATATGTGCCAAGTACACAATTAAAGCCACCTCAAACTTAGGAAGCTGGTAATATTATTTTCATCTCTCTTTTTGAAAGATGAGGAAGCTAAGGTGCAATAGGACTAGTTACACGTCTAAGACAACACAATTAATAAGAGGCAAAAACTAGACTGAAAACCATGCACACAGTAGGCACTCCATAAATGATGGTTGCATTCACTGCATTATCATAATTTCCCACATACACTCTTTTTTTCCCCCTGTCTTCACTTGCAGAGGCTGTTTCCTACCCTTAGGACACAATTCTCATTACCTATCCCCAATCTGAGAATGTTCACATTCTACCATCTGGCAATGATTCATCTCTGATTCAAGGGCCCATGCCTCTAAGCCCTGCTAATTTCCGACTCCTTGAAGTAGAAGAAGCAACTCTAGCTCTATGACTGTACAATGCCAACTGCTGTTCAATGTAACATTTTCTGTCGATGTTTTCATCTTCATGTTCTGCAGTAATATGGCACCATGGCTCCGTGATTGTTTATCTCGAGTAATGAAACCCTCCGAGGTTCTCTGTGCAATATCCCTTTTTTGGGATAATGGCCCCTTTCCCCCTGTTTTATCTATCTGGTTACAGCAGATGCAGCATGCTTGTGCATTGACATACTACCCCTTTGGTCACAGTTGATGAGGTAGGCATCTGATGAGGTAGGTGGAGGAATGAGACACCTTTCCTTGAGCATCTGAAATTGCTGAGTAATTCATACAGTTTCTTTCTAGGTGGTTGTATCTTGAATGCACAAATCTGGGTGCTAGTTGGGACCATGTTTTCTGCCATCTGCACTGGGGAAGCATAGAAAACCAGGGTCGAGAGAAAAAAAATGAGAGTGGGAGAGTGGAAGGTCGCTATCACCAAGAGAGGAGCAGGGACAAGAGAGGAGTCCCCTGTGTATGTGCCAGCTACAATTCTACCTTTGGATTCTGTGAGTTCATCTTTGCTTATTTGCTTAAGCAAGATTTAGTTAATTTTTGTTGCTTACAACCAGAGTCCTACGGAAAACATCCTCTTAACCAGATGATATGCTCCCTAGGCATAATAGAGATCCCTTGCTATAACTGTCTGAATTCATTTCCTAGGGTAGCTATAACAAAGCACTACTACTGTGTGACTTAAGCAGTGGAGATTTATTCCCTACAGTTCTGGAGGCAGGAAGTCCAAAATCAAGGTGCTGATTGGGTCGGTTCCTTTTGAAGGTTGTGAGGAAAGGATTCGTTCCAGGCTGTCATCCCTTCATCCATCTCTCTGTCCAAAGCTCTCCTTCTACTATAGACACCAGGCATATAGGCCACCCTCACTTTAATGGCCTTCCTTTAATTTGACTACTGTTTAAAGTCTCTAACTCCTGCCGGGCTCAGTGGCTCAGCCTGTAATCCCAGCACTTTGGAATGCTGAGGCGAGTGGATTGTCTGAGCCCATGGGTTTGAGACCAGCCTGGGCAACTTGGCGAGACCTCATCTCTACAATAAAACAAAAATTAGCCAGGCATGGTAGTGCACACCTGTAATTCCGTCTATTTGGAAGGCTGAGGCAGAAGGATCACCGGAGCCCAGCAGATCGACGCTGGGGTAGCCATGAGTGTGCCACTGCACTCCAGCCTGGGTGACAGAGTAAGACTCCAATTCTAAATAAATAAATAAATAAATAAATAAAAATAAAGTCTCTAACTCCAAAAGGTCACATTCTGAGGTCCTGTGGGTTAGGACTTCAGCATATGAGTTTTGGGAGGTAACAAGTCAACCTATAACACCATCATCTAAAGAGCACAGCACCAAACTGTGCCTTATACGTACACAGTAGATACCAAAAGTGATTTCTTTGGAGTTAATGAATTAACATAATCACTCATCCATATGAAGGAGTCTTGTGCCAGGTACTGGTCTAAGCATTTTACACACAAGAATTTATTTAATCCCCAAATCTACCCAGAAGAGGAAATTGGGGCAGAGAGGAATCAAATAATTTGGACAATGTCACACATTGTGGCAGCCTGGTCCAGGACCTGTGCTTTTAACACTGTATTCCACTGCCGCCACTGTTCAGCTTAGTGAGGCATTAGGCAGATTATAACTGGGAATTTTAGAGACCTAAAAATAACCCACTTAGAGAGAAAAATAAGTTTACACTGAAGGAAAGTATCATTTCATGGTGATTTAAATGTATCCCCTTGGAGTTTTTTTTGGACAGGAATTATGACCAAAGAGCCAGCCATCTCCCCAGATGACTTTAAAGCAGACCCAGAGTATTTATGTCTCTTGCTTTAATTAATAACCTCATTATGCTGTAGCAAGGTGAAAAGAAAAAAAAAATCACTGTTAATGAGCCCAGGTTAGTAAACAGTGGTAACGACCTGGTTATTAAGTCTAATGCCTTAAAAATTCAGTCCCATCATGTTCAAGATATTTAATCAGCAAGATCACAAAGGAGAATTAAGAAGAAAAGTTGTTGCTTGTATGTGCAGAAAAAAGTTAAAAGAAAGTTGCAGAACGGGATAACTGATCACCAAATATATGCAGAGTAGGAGTAAAACAGATCTTGGAAGGTAGAATCACTGTCTTTAAAGTGGCAGAGAGTCAGGAGTTGTCTTGTTGTCCAAACAGGAAAAGAGATATCTAGAGAGAAGAATATAACCAGGCTTGAATATACAAGTTAGAGGTTCATCTTGTTCTGGGTGTCTATAGCTATTTCCCAGTCATAGTTTACGAATGGTCACAGGAGATCAATGTCTGGGATGCAGAGTAGCAAGCCTCTGTAGGACTGAGCATAGAGAACTAAGAGTAGCCAAGAGAAAGGGCATTCTTCTGTATGTATCTTTCTAAAAACTTGAGCCACAGAAATGAACACACGGTGACCCAAGCCCTTTCTCCTTCAAGATAGCTTGATGGTTCCCCTGGTAGACTATTAAAGAGCAGCCATTTGGAAGAGTCTTAGAGCTTCCAGAGCAACTGTAGTGGACTGAATTATATCCCCCCACTCCTTGATACCTGTGAATGTGACATTTGGGGAAATTTGGGTCTTTTCAGATGTAATTAAGTATATCTAGATGAGATCACCCTAGACTAGTGTGTCAGCCTTAAATCCAAAGACAAGTCCTTAGAAGAAAGGAGAAAGGGAACTAGAAAGACACAGGAAAGAAGGCCATGTGAAGATGGCAGCAGAGATTGGAGTTATGCTGTCATAAGCTAAGAAAATCACTAACATAAGAAAGTGCCAGGAGTCTCTTGCGTCAAGGAAAGATTCTCCCATAGAGCCTTCAGAGGGGGTGCAGCCTTGCCGAAACCTTGATTTAGGATTCCTGGCCTTCAGAACTGTGAGAGAATACATTTCTGTTGCTTTTATAGCTAGTACATTTATGATAATTTTTTATAGCAGATGTAGGAAACTAATACAATTACTTTGGGAATTTAATGCAATTTGTGTATTACATGCACAGTTGTCAGGGCTCAAAGAAGGTCAGCTGGTCAGGTCAGGAAAGGCTCCTTTATCCACTTCACTAAACCACATGCACATATAAATATGCACATACATTCCTTCTCTCTCTCTCTCTCTCTCTCTCTCTCTGTCTGTCTCACACACACACATGCAAAATACTAAATTAACTATTCAACTATGTCACAAAACAGTATTACCAAAATTTCTTAAATTTTCTGCATGAGTTAACCTTTTGACCACAAAATTATTATGGTCTCAACTGTTTTTGATGTGATATCTTTTTAACATACACATAAGGTATTGTGGTATGGATAAATGAGTATTGCGTAGTCAGAGGAACCATATTCAAAAGTGAGCTGTTCAATATACCGGCTGATGAGTTTGGTCAAGTTACTAACTGTTTTTGAATCCCAGTTTTGACATCTCTAAAATGAAGATAATGATATCAATAATACGTATCTTTAAACTTTTTTGGGAAGATTCAAAATAATGATTCAAAATAATGTAAATGAAACATCTAGCACAGGGCTAACATCTAGCACAGGGCTAAGGAGGACTTCTGTAAATAGTTGCCATTATTATTTTCAACTATTTCATTGTCTTCATAAGAATAAACTGAAAGCATGGAAATGATGTAACCTGAAGAAGAGCAACCCCTTTAAGTATTTATTTTAAAAACATATTTAGGTATAAAATGCAAAGACTTCTATGTATGGCCACAATGAAATACAGGGACTATATTTACACTCCCATCATAACTAACAAGAAAACCAGACAAGCTACATTAAGTATCAGTTTTCAGACAATAGACAACAAGCAGTTCGGGACTATGATTCTTGCAAAAAGGAAGCAAACAAAATTATCCCTATAATTACCCTAGCTTACTGCCTAGAGGCAGTTTCCAGGCAGCAGAGCAGTGTGGGAGAATGTAAATAGAGCTCATTAGTTTTACTGAGTTGAGGATATGGAGATGGAAGTTCAGAGAAACCATGAGTGGCTAAAATTTGCAGAACCGTATATAAGAAAAGACAGAGCTTGCATAGAAAAATAACTCCAGGGAGACACGCAAGTCTTTGGCTGAGTACTAACTTGAGCACGCATGAGAGGAAACTACTCAAGGTTAGGGAAAGAACACCAGGAAACAATCTTCAGAACCTGCACAAGGTTGGAAATAGTTTATGTTCTCACTAGCTAAAGACCTTGTAATATGAGTAGGGTACTCAAAATTTACTAGTGGTATCAAATTATCCATGGACTGGATCTAGGATGAACAACTTGTCCTGGTTTGCTTTGGGGATTTCCCAACTTTAAAACAGAAAGTTCCACTTCTCAGAAACACTTTAGTCTCAGTTTTAAACTAAAAGTCTCATGTCTTGGAGACCCTTTTAGTCTCAGGGAAACTAGGATGATTGATCACTCTATGTAGATCTGTTCCAAGAAAAGCTTGAAAGCAA